TTAAGAAGGAGCTTTGTGTAATTTTCATGGGGCGCCTTCAAAATGGAGGAGCCTTCACAAAAGCCCCATGAAACACCACTTTCGGGGATCAACTTTTGATGGCACCTTGTGATCATGCTCAGGACACTCTATGCAGATTGCCTTTAGATTTCCACAAGTATATATTTCTTCAAAATCTCAATTGCTTGACATTAAGTTGATGTATTTATCAGGTAAATCCCCATATTATCCCAGGACAGTCTGGGGATCCTCCGAATATTGCCCGTTCGGACCCCCGGTGACCCCGGGACGAACCCCAGTAATTCCCCGTGAAATTTCGAAAGTACTCACGGGGTGTACGGGATATTCCCGGGACCCGCAGTGCGACCGATCGACGGTAATTGCCCGAATTCACGAGGCTCAAATAAAGCACCCTAGCTACCTCGTGAAAGCAGTCATTTAGACACCTCCTGGCGGTATCCAATGGTGTATTTAAACTCCGTTAGATCAGGCGAGGGGAGGAGTTTCTAAGACGGGAGTCAAAAAGGACAGTTGGGGGGCCGTCTTGAAGCAAAGCGTGTTTCGTGAATAAGCCGGGGCAATGGAACTATTAATCTGTGTGGGATTGTGGTGTAGCCTCGAATAGGATTTCTTAAGGTCCGTTAGCTCTTTGACTGATAAGAACCTGGTTGCCAAGTTGTCCGTCGTACTCGGTGTACTGAGCCGTTGAATCAAGCGTTTGTAAGACCATCACTATAAACCAGGAACCGGTTATCGAACGCTCTTGAAACTTCAGGACTCCGCGAATGAAAAGCTCCATATCAACAAACAGATCCGAGAACCGAATGCATGCACACAGAGTCGATCTTGATTTAGCAGTCCTCATGTGAAGCTGCATAAAACGTACACTGTGCATGTGACAAGAATATCACGCACATATATACGCGTCAAATAGTGGTATGTGTACATCATCGGAATCACGGTCATGGCTGTACGGTTTAGGAGCTCCTCGCGAACATGGGGCAACCAGCTAGCTCGATCCAGGCTGTCGATCAGAATACTTTCCGAGGTGCCCTGCACGCGCGTTTGTGAGGTGCAATCCCGTAAGGAGCGTTAAAAGAGCTATAGCCTTGTACGAGCTATTGCCCACACCTAGTGTGTCAAGTTTGCAGCTCGCTGTTGCTTTTCAGCGCCTAGTTAACGGCTTGGAGAGACGGAGGAAAGCTGGGCACTTCCGAAGCGGCAAAACACGTGTTTAGCCACTAGCTATCTGATTCTTTGGAGCTTACGTCGGTCCCTGTCCAGCAATCTGAGGAAACCAAGAATCATGAAACCAACGTTTTCGTCATGCGCTCCGCTCCTCGTGTTTCAAAAACTTTGCCGCATACTCCTTATTGTACGTCTCTCGAGGCTTTAAGTTTAAGCTACGTTCGACGGTTTAGAGACGCGACGAGGGATATTGTCGTTTGCGGCACGCAGCAGAACGCAGCAAGATTATTTAGAAAAGAAAACTTAAAGCCGAGCCGTGGAATCAATACACACAGCAAGGTTTTGCCTCAACCACCCTCGGTCACTTGACCAGACGTGAACCGTGCTTGATTAACGGCACGAAAAGCACGAGTATATAAAAGCTCGTATGACCTTTTACGGAGGTCTTTCTCTTTCTCTCTTCGGTCGAAACCGGCGCCTTTTGGGAATGCACTTAGCAAGGTTGGAGAAAGAAAAAGCAGCACTCCAGAACTTGGCGCCACTCTTCTTATTGCTCGCAGATCCGCGTGATCACCTTGAAGTGGTATAATTCTCTGATCTGAAGAACACACGAAACGAGCAAGCTTCCGCTGCCGGAGTGCATAAGGTGCTCTTTTGATCTAAAGCCTCTCAAGACGAGCTTTTGCTTCTCTCCAAAATCAACTTTCCAGCGCCTGAAGAGTGATTGTTCCGAACCTGCCTTCTCCGCTCGGATATGGCGGCAGCTCTGTTTACGGCTCTGGGGGACGCCCGCCGTTCAACCACCCTTCTGGTACTCGTTGTGATCTAGGGCATCTTGGGGGGCGTTCCAGCCGCCTTTGCTGGTAAGAACCTGGGACAGCGCCTTTCGCACAACCCGCCGGTTTAAGCAGTTTTACCCTAAAACCCTAAAACCCTAGAACTCTAGAACCCTAAAAGAGGCCTAGAAGCTGGACGATCAAGTGAGTCGACTCCTCAACGGCATATAGCTGCAGTCAATGAAATTCTTTAATGCTAACTTTCTCTGCGAAACTAAAGCGGGTTCTCAAGAAGAGGCCTTCACAAATGTATTGCCCAATTCATCCAAACCCTTCCGTTGGCATGGAACATGTGCTGCTCGCCAGCCCAGAACTTGAGAGCCCACAGCGCCCTCTATCCGCTCACCCGGCCAACCAACCGAAAGCAAAGCCCCGTTTTGCATAGCCTTTTATTTTTGAAACACGCAGTTTTGTTACGGTTCGAAAACAGATAGGCACCCCATTTTGCGTAGATAGAACCCCACCCTCCTTTGCCACGGAAATCTCTAGCAAAAGGGGGGTGTGTTGGATTTTTCAATGTTTCGAAAATGTTACAAAACCTTACTCAGATTAACGGATGTAATGGGGGGCGCTCACCCCACCAAAAGCTTATCCAATCTCCTGGGATTATAGCACGAAAATTCAAACTGAGGCAGTACTGGGACGTGGCCCGCTGTTTGCTTTTGTCTCAACGCGACTGATCTACTCATCCTAAGGCTGCAGTTAACAAAACGGACAAATCGCTGTTTCACGTGTTTCTAGATCACAGCGGGCCTACTTGCACTTCGTTGTTTCGGCGTCGCTTGCTTCATATTTTTCTTCCGTCGAAAGATCATATGATAATCGAGGCCTAAGAAATGAGTTCTTATTTCCATCTCGATTGCCACGAAAACGACAGGACTACATTCCACAAACTTTTCTCAGAAGGGCCGCCTTTTCTGTCTCTGCAGTTCCGATTCCGCCCGTGTGCGGGGCTAGCGGAAGGGCAGGTACGATCAATCTGCATCTCTGCAAATTAGAGGCGGGGTAGAAGCCTCAGTATATCGAGGGGTTGAGTCATAACCAAAGGTCTCTTCCACTTTCAGTTCGTGTGATCATGCGCTGAGAATGTCAAAGCTGAGTCTGCGGTGCGCGAAGGAAATCTAATCTTTCACTCGTGTGAGTAGAAGTGTTGGGTGAAGATTCAATCACTGATTTCCTCTGTTCCTGGGAATGTAGAGACATTGAGGAACACGTGGCAGTACCGCGTTTGACCTCAAAATGTAGCTCTTTAGGGCGCTTCAGGATTTTCACCCTCGAAGGGTCGTCTGTTTATCTGTCATGTTTTGAAGGCAGATGAAGATCAAGAGCTCTCCAAACGTACTTTTTAAAAATTTGGGCCACCCAGTTCACAAGTAGAAGCGCCAAGTTGAATGAACTAGACCCAAACAGAGATCGGCCCAAACGATTGACCCCTTCTCCAGCGACGTTGGCCCTGGTGACAGCGTTGCTACTCTGATCCGAAATCGTTGTGGTGCTAACGCATTTACGGCAGCAATCAGCACGATGTCTCTTCACCAGAACGAAGCTAAGAGAAAACCAGGCCAGATTTGAGGTCACCATTAACCCGGCATCTTATTCAGCTTCTTCACTTCACGCAGACACCACCAACGGGGGTTACACCCGATTCCCCGCGAGCGACATCGCAAACAGCCAATCCAACTTGACCTCCCAATATCTTTCTGGCCGTAGGATTCAGTTCGGGGTCAGCCCAGAGTGCGCGGGTGCCTTAACTCGCGGGTTCCGGGCTAACCCTGTCAAAAACCGCGTTGTCCTGTGTAACGCCGTAAGCGATTGCGTGGCCTTTACGTACGCCACTCCAAACGCGACGATTGCCGGCACCGCACCCGGGTGCTGTTTCCTGAAGACGACCCCCCCTCGTCACAGGGCCGGCGCCCGGGCTGAATGCCTACGGTGAGTTTGGCTCGCGGATCTGCCCCCGAAATGGGTGACCGGTTGATCGTTGATCGTTGATCGTTGATCGTTGATCTTTTCCCTCTGGGCCTTACCGGAAGAAATCATCATGGGTTTGGAGACTTTCTTCTGTTTTGGCCTTGCTAGCTAAGGTAACGTGTAGGTTTGCTAAAAAGAACCAGCATGGACGTGAACAGTCGTGTGTCGTGCGGCATCTCGAACTCGGAAAACGTCCGGAAGCACAACCACTAAGGAGCGAGGTGAAGACTGCGCTTCCTTTCCAACTTCCTTGGTGATGCTGATCTGGACGGTGGCTAATCTCCTCCGACAATGTACTTTCCGTATATACAAGCCATTATATGAGCGGGCAAGCGTCATGATCTCTTGCTCAATCTAGGAAATCCTGCCTGGAGCTTCAGTTCGCTTGTCAATCAGGTTAAGATGATGTGCTGTTATCGGACGGTTCGCGATAAGCCGGAGTTTGGCCGATATATGCTTGCAAGCATAATCCTCGCTGATGCGCGGCCTGACTGAATGTGTGCAAGTGTTTGCAGTGCTCGCACGCTTTTGCATCAACGGCACGTTCTTACCTTCGCTAGCCCCTACCGACACCCAGTTCTACTAGTATTCATTCATGCGCATGCGCATGCGCATGCTGCAGCTTCTCTTTCTTACATACTGATAGCTACCAAGTTGGCACTGCATGCATGGACGTACACTAAGTTCGCAAAGACCAGAACACGATATTTGCACCTGTGCTTAACTGATGTACACTAACAGCAACAGGTAGTTACGATCTTATATTAAGGCCAAACGCGTGACTGATTAGAGGTGTGCTATAGTACAGACTTTCTCAGAAGGAAACGTGCGCGCCAAGTATCGACTTGCATAGCTGCTTGAGAACAGTCGTGCATGCACCACAAAGACATAGTCGCGATCTTTCGATGATCGTTGTTTCTGTGAGTACCAACACATGCATGCTGTTGGTGGGAGCAGCTAGGGCGCGAGCGCCGTACAGTCCTCTTACATACTGCAATGATCTCAACATTCCACGGTAACTCGTAAAGGCGCCTGGGTCTGCTCTTTCTCGGACGACGTTCTGAATCTGATCCGTTTCTGTAACGATTTGAGGACTACCAGATCGGGCTGTGGGGCCAGCAAAGGATGGTAGTCTCGACCGCTGTCTATTTCCAGAGGGACTACTCCGCTGACGACCAGCTGCAAAAGACACATGATTCGGCTTGAGTTAACAACTTCATGCCCCGTTTAGCTGACACGTGGTAGTGCCCCTCAGCCTCACAATCAGCAAGCCCCTCCCATAGGAACATGGACGTGGATATGTGGGCATGGCTTGACCCGACAATAACCAATCGGCTGTTTTATGTACTACCTTGTCGCTAGCAGTAAACGATTGGTCGACTCCGTGTCGCTCGCGACATTTCTCGTACTTGAGCGACGGTAACATTCAAACAATGTCCTTTCCTTTGATAATGTATTTTAGAGAACCGCCTAAACAAGCAGAGGGGTTGGCAGGACATCAAATCCGGCAGTTTGCCCACGCTTGAAGAATGTGAAACTTTTGTAATAAATATTCGAGAGAGCCCAGGATCAGAGGATCTTCCGCACAAACTTGAAAGAGGAGGCGTTACGATGAATCAGGGCGGCGCTCACCACTGATGTCCCCGGGCTCAGATCAAGGCGACACATCAGCTCCCCATCGCCCGCCGGCGTCGTCTCCTCTGCAACCTCCCGCCCTTTGCTGCTTTCCGTTCCCTCAGCCGCCTCGCCGCTTTCCCACGTGGGGTCTTCAAAGTGCTCCGCCCACTTTTGCGCTTCCGTCACCTACATTTGGCAGCGGATTCCGTGGGTGAGCACTTCCAATAGGGCTGATACGCTGACTGAAAGCTTTTTAGAGCTTGCGAATGCTGGAGATTGAAGTCGACGGAAGGGACATGCTTTGTCTCAAAGAGAAAGGCCAGCAGCAGACAACTGACAAGCGAGTGTCACTGCAATTGAACAGCATTCCGACCGTCCGCCAGAGTGAATGGTCGGCAGATTGGTTGCCTCGGAACTCCGCCGCTCCTTCTGACCAATCGAAATAAGCTTCCGGGTGCGAACGCTCCGCCCTTTGGCGCAAACCTTCCAGCCGCGATTCTTCGTGAACTCCAGCAGAGACCAGTGCCCTGACGGCCACTTTTGATTGATAGCAATAAGCTTCCAGGCGGGAAAGCTCTGCCATTCGACGCAAAACAATCTCGTGGCTGTCCAGGTATCACTGGGAAAGCAAGCCGGGACCGATGAGCTCACCTGTTTGTGCTCGAGCTCCCCCCCCATGACGGACAACTCGACGGCGGTGCCACGTGCCTGCCGGACGACGGGCCAATCGCTGGCTGGCGATGCGAAGCGCGTGCCTTTCGGGGGGATGACTTCGAGCAGAACCGTGTGTCTACCTGCGAAAGAGAGGCGGAGCGTAATGGTTAAGAGGTGAAATAGTCGGGCGGAGCGGCTGAGGTCTTAAGCGGAATGAAAGCCGACTGAGCGGAGCAGCGACCGAGTCAGGCGCAAGATTCGGTTACCAAGCCAAGCTTTCGAACAAACAGGACCTGCACTGCAAAAGCGTAAACGGGCGGGATTGGTGTAAGCAGCCTTTTTGCTACACCGAAAAGACTTGGTTATTGTAAGATGCAAAACTGATCAACTCTTTGAAATAGATGAAGGCAGGTGAATGAACATCAAAGGTTGCAGTGTTCCTGAAGAGTGCCTCTACGAGAAAACCTTCTGTGCACATAGAAATCGGCGGCACTGGGATGGTTATCATTTCGCACGAAGTCTTTCCGACTCGATCAGAAAAGGCGAAACCACGGTTCGTATGGTCACGAAGGTAACCGTGAGTGCGGGTCCACTTTCAGAGCATATACAAATCAGCTTTTGCGTTGTGTGTATGTTTCAGAACTTCTAGGTGATCCATCTGCTTTGCAGGTGATGCAGGCACGCGCATCTACCGTGCAGCCCCTGTGAAAGCCAGAAGGTGCCGCATACTGCAGAGCAACTGAAGGGTGCAAGACGAAGGAACTCAGAGCTGCCGCCTGGACATTTCGCCAGAAACTACCAGCAACACCAGCGCTGCCTATACGGACAGATCCCTCAAGCAAGGCTTCGCCAAATTGCACTGGGTATACACGCCTCACCTGATCCAGTCTCAATGACGTCAGCAGTGCTATCCTGCGGCAACTCCTGCGGCAACTCTGCGCTGAGCGGCGGTTCGGCAGGCGGCCGCCACTGAGGCGGGATCCCGAGTTTTTGGAAGCCTTTCAGCTTTAGAGTTGACACGTCACCCGTGCTCAGGTCAAGACGGGCGATGCGATGGTTATCTGCGGCGAAAAGCAAGACAGACGTAAAGGTTTGGCATTCCCAGATTGTCTAGTCGCCTCAGTTGAAGATTTTCAAGACCAACGAGTCGTACGTTCTGTAGCACAGACGGAGACGTGCAGTGCATCTGGGTATATGCAGGAGAGAGCACACGGAGACTCAGACCTACAGAATTGGACCTTGTACTTCTCTAAGAATGAAAACACAAAGTAAAGGGTGTTCGGGATGTGCCAATCAGATTCAATTTGAGTATCCCACAAGCATAATCATATTCCTCTTCAAGACAGAACGACACCAGAGCCCCAAAAAAGCAGTAAACAGCCTCTCAAATACCTGTCCAACCAAGAACCGAAAGGTCCTGCAGTCATGCACAATGGCCTTCTTTCGCGCTGGCTTATTGATATGAGAACAGTCGGGATCCCTTCCGGGTGGCTTGCTAGAAAAAGTGAGATTTCAGAAGCCAAATCAACGAACGAAGCGCTTCTTTCGACCATTCTCACGCAGACTCACTCGTGTCCGCTATGTACAAACTCCCCCCCAGCTCCGTGACTCCTGCCGGCTCGTGAAACATCGCCCGCAACCTCGGCCCGTTATTGTAACCCGGCAGGCTTTCCGTGCTCCCCGCGAAGACCTGCGCCCGGACCTTCCCTCCCCCTTGGTTACTGCTAACCCGCATGCCCATAACCCGGCTGCCGTCGACGAAGAAGTAGAGGTCGCGGACGTCCGAGCTGGGCGTGTCCGTCGATATTTGGGAGTGTCCGAATGCGGGCGCGGGCAGGAGGTCGGCTTCGAGAGACGTGGCGCGGTGGGCGGTCGCGTGGAGGGACAAGATTGCCGCGCGGATCGTGTCTGCACGGTTAGACAAGACAAAGCGTCCTTAGCGCGAAATAAAAAGCTACTTGCCTGACCACTCGTTCGTTCTTAGTTCTTCATATCAAGAACGGCTAATTGGATAGTGTCTGAAGGGGCAAGCTTAGCGCGTCAAAAGACGTACTTAGGATCATTGACGTACCTGTTGGTCCCGGATACATACGTACATCGCGCACATACGTGCTTCTTGATGGAATCCATAAATTTCTTTGTTTTCCGTTCCTGGTTCTCTCGTTGAGCGCCATCAGCTCATCCAACAAAAGACCAGGTAGAACAGGCAAACGCAGATCTCAAGCTCCCATAGGCTGTCAGCAGTATATGTACGAGGGTTACCATGGGCAGATATTAGAAGGGAGGGCAACGAGCTTCAGAAAAGCTTGGGCCAGTCCTGGAGGGGAATAAAATGGATCCCCAATATGGGCCTCTTGAAATCTGCACGAGGTTGGGGCCGCTTCGAACTATCCTCTCTGTAGTGGCCGTGAAGAGCAGATTCCGGAAGCCGTGTGTTGCCACCAATTACAAGAGCAGACAATTCCTGTCATATCGATGCGGCTGAAGGAAGCGAATTTGGTCGTACGATGTCATACTGTTGTGAGCGGCTCTGCCAAAATCAAATAGGGACAGCTCTACGTTAGTCTTCTCGGGTTTCGCTGCTTGCGGGTCTTCTCAAGTTTCTGTGCACAGCAGAAAAGTAGCAGCTGAACAGAACAGGTGGCGGACATGGGCCTTACTTGGCGCCCCCCCGTCCATCCACGTTTCCGAGGTGCCCTCCTCCAGATTCACCGTCCAGGCCTGGCCATACCTGCACGGGAGCATGACGTCACGCTCGTACCTCCGCTTGTCGAACGTGTGCAAATATTTCTGCAAGACATTACTGGATTTAGAGCATGCCGGACGACGTAAGCTGTCCATGAGCAATGCTTCTTGGATCGTGCATGATCAATGGCGTGCCAAAGGCCAGCATGATACTGGCAAAACACGGGGGGAAAGCTGAGCAGGCAGGTTCCGGGGGAAAAGCTGAGCAACTTGCTCAAACAGACCTCCTCATGTTTGAGCTCGGCGAGGAAGCCTTAGCCCTCCTGTGGTTGATGATTGATAAACGGGGGAAAACCTAAGAGACAAAGGCAGAAGAAGAAAGAAAAACAGCAAAGACAATCTGCTCACAGGGTTATGCGGCACACATCCAGAGAAGCAGACAGAATTTGGTCAGTCCGGAACATAACGACCATTTTGTGGACCTCTTCTTGGAACCGGGATAGTCACCTGCTAGCTTTCTAGCCCTTAGCTTTGACCACCCTCTGAAAAAGCAATCAAGGACTCACCTAGGGTTCCAACTCGCAAGCTTATGATACTCCTGAAGTTCAACGATTGCAATCCTGAAGGGACTTACCCCGCACTGGCTACTGCAAGCACGCCCTCCTCGATCATCGCGATGTGCCACGGGAACCACGGCCGCCCGCTCTCGGCCTCCTCGTCCGCCGCCGACGGGCGCGGCTCGGAAAATGTGCTCGGGGGAGGGGGCGGTCGCCGCAAGAAAGCCGGGACTAGCCGGCTCCAGAGCGACTCAACGACGGACTCTTCTTCCGGGGGCTTGGGAAATACGGTGGTGAGCGTGCGCTCGCGCAGGTCGGCGCGGCGGAGGGCGTGATTCTGCAGGGGTTGACATGAAATAGCAGTTTTCGCAGCGACCTACAAAGAGACAACCCTGAGAAAAAGAGCTGACAGTTGACAGTTGTAGATTGACACCGACATCTTTGTAATCAGTGGCTAGAGAGTGTCGGGACTGGGTACCTCGACGTCAGCAATGAGAAGAGTCTCCGTCTCCCGCTCGTAGAGCATCGCCCCGGGGCGGCGCAGCTGCGCTGTTTCGAACGGACCGTCCTGGAAGCCCCCCGTCCGCGACAGGCCAATCTGCAGGAAGAGTCCTTTCATTCAGAGAGAGGGTCTGCCTGCGAGAAACCATCGAGAGGCTGCTTCTGGAGTAGCGTTTCGCGAGCGGTCTGGCGAGAGCAAGATACCTATACAGGAAGCCACCAAAAGCCAGGAGCGCAACAGCCGTATCTGTATGTCCCCTCTGTGCCTGTACTCAGGCTTCTTTAATGAAAATTGTAAATATACAACCAAATGAACTTGCGAGACGCACGGACAGAGCAGCATGGAATTGCTGACCGCAGAGCATTGATGCACAATCAAAACATGCGCAGTTGCAGTACTCTTAACGCTCCAAAGCCCTACATGCTCAACCTCAAAATCGAATTTCTCACCACGTCGAGGATCGTGCCGTCTGGGTCCAGGATCAAAACTTGGTGATTGAGCGCGTTAGAGACGAAGAGGCGCGAGTTAGCGCGATCGGACGTGATGTGCGCTGCAAAAGATGGGAACGGATGTGTTTGGGCTCATCCGATTTGGACTCACTGACGTGCGGTAAAGGGAGCATCCGTAGTCAATCGTTCCCACTTGTTTTTTTTGCTGATTGAAAGGACACGTTCTAGTGCACACCTTATAGCTTGAAAGAGTCAACTGACCCAAGCTGAAGAACGGAGTAGGAGATAAGACGGCACGGCGGAGACAGCCGATAAACGGGAAGCCGAATGACCCACACAGCGAAGGGTCTCTCATCTGATGTACACTTAGATCTGCTCATGTGAGAAGAACAAGATAATGAGATGTAACCTTCAAGCTGAGATTGCACCACCACGCTGATAAGTGTGGGTCGTACGCCGTTTGACGGTCGAAGAGACTCACAAGGGAAGGACAGCAGCAGGTTGGGCCAGTCCTCCGCCTCGTCGGGCCCCCGGCCAATCATCGCCGCGGGAGACCTCCGCACGGATGCCTCCTCCGTTTGGCCCCCGCTGCTGATCCGCGCGAGCTTGGCTTTCGTGAGCCGCTCCCGCAGCACTGCAAACGCAGGGCTGTTTCATTTTGCACCTTGCTTGATAAAGGTCAAACACTGTGTCGAGCTTGTACCAGGAGCTTGTGAACACCGGGTTGCGTCCGCAGTCTCTCACGTTTCAGCGCCAGTGTTACCGTCAGTATCTCCTCTTCTTTCCACCGCGCTTTGTAAGACCAATAGTTCGTGTTGGGGAGGAAGAACTCTGCTTGCCTCTCCTGCGCAAAAGGTGGCTGAAAGTCGTCTTCAGGAACAAAGTTGGCAAGCTCACGTTTGCCGGCTCTGCCGTTCCGGAGGTCCTCCAAAGAGTACGCAGCGACTGTCGCAAAGGCCTGGTCCAGCACCAGACACGAGATGGGGCTCCATCCCGCGCCCTCGAACAAGGCAGCCTGCACAGCAGTTGCCAATTCGGGTTATGCTGAACCAGGTTAAGATATGCAACGGGAACCGGGAGGGTTCCTTTGACTAAACCCTACCTCGAAACCTACGCGCTCGGCGCCCGTCCCCACCCCTAAACCCCCAGACCAACCCCACCCGTCCTTCCGGCACTGACTTACTCCAACCTGGCGGGTATCTCAACTTGAAGCTGATGCCCCCAGCTTGCATGCCTAGGGCAACCGTTTTAAGGAGCGAGACCGAGTCCTTTCGGAGGTGCAGAAGTTCAGATGCATCCGAACACAGCTTTGTCCCCGAGACTGTTCGCCAAGGAGCGGCTTAGAAAACGTTCGGGCGAAAGCAAAAGATATGCTTTCGCCATGTCATCCTTTGGACGTTCCCCAACGTTCGTCGAACCTACCTGTTTTGATCCTGAATAGAGCAAGTGTCCACGCTTTCGATGCTTGATGGGACAAAGCTCTTACAGGTAGGTGGTCGCTTCGGGCTCCTCCCTCATATCACACTAACGAGGCAGGTGGGACGACTAAGAACACCGATTATCTTGCAAGTTCTGCTAACATCCTTCTTCTCCTTCTTCCCCTTCTTGCGAGCTTCAGTATATGAACTTTGCGTCAGGTCTCAGCAGCTGCGCGACCGTCACCACAGCCTCACCTTGTTTATTGCATCATAGAAGACGAGGACGGGGAAGGTGACGTAGTGCTGCAGGATTCTTCGGACGAGGTGGTCGCTGAAGGCTTGGACGTCCGCCTGAGGCGCCTGCTGTACAGCAATCACATTCACCTGGGGTACCCTGCAACAGAGAAATGAACGGTTTCGTGCTCTGCCGTATTGAACAAGAGTTCTGCTACATTTTGATTAGAACGAAGTCAATAGAATAGTCCTAAACTCGAGAAGTCACCTGCTCCACACCCTTGCCCACCCGAAACCCCTCTCTAACTACACCCGTCCGAGGAAGTTTTTATTTTGAGCTTGTTGTGGCTATTCAGTAACTTAAATTTTCGCAGGGCCCTCAGCTCTTGGGGTTTTCAGACTGCCAAGCTGCCAGGCAACTAGTGATGCTCTGCTTGAGAAACGACCAAAGGGAGCGGAAAGTCCCGACTGCAAGAGTATGGGGGCGGACAGCTCCCTCGATCCGGTTCTCTTGTGTCTGATTTGTGCTTCTTGCAAGCAGTGTGTGTATGTTGTTCGAGACACTGGCTCTGTTGCCAGCGTGATGCTCGAACTTCCCAAGTTTGTTTTCTAGCCAGGCCAGTATATCTGTCATATCAATGCTTGCTCAAATTCAAAGAACATCTGCTTCGAATGGATTGATGATCATTCTACAAAATAAGGTTTCCTCACCATCACTGTTGAATGCAACTGGACTGTGTCTGATCTGAAGAGTCTTACCACCAAAAGCCCTGCCTTTTGACAATTTTGCAATCAGAGGAGCTGGAAGCCGATGAGCGCCTTCGGAAATGGCCACGTCTGCCTATCAGCAAGCTGCGAGAGCAGACTGCAATTAAGAAGCTAACTTTCGAGATTGAAAAGATTGTCCTCACCTCTGCTGGATTGCCTTCAGCCTATGCAGCAGCAGAGACAGACTCCGCTTGCGACCGTCCTGCAGATCCTCCAAGATATCAACACCCAATACTGTCCAGGGACTCTCATAGTCCTTGATGCTGTCTGGCTTGTTCAGCCACACATGTCCAGTACCTGCAGTCACAACGATGTGTCAAAATCGCAATTCCACGAATAACCATAGGAATGCAGTACAAGTCAGAATTGTTGCCCCAATCACTTCTATCATTGAGCACATTGTACATGTCAATCATATGTTGAAAAGTCCGAGGCTGTTGATGCTCACCTGATGACCTTCCACAGATGTTAAGGCACAAGCCAAGTCTTTCCTTTAGAGGTGATCGTGGCTTACCTTAACAACAAATATGCCATAAGATGCAATTCATCTGTGATCATTGGGAAAACGACGTGGCGAATGATTAACAGAGAAAGGCAACTTCCAGGCATCACCAGGTAGCAACAATCATGTTTCTTTCAGAGTAAAGGCGGCTGACTTGACTGTCAGAGCTTTGTTGAAACCACATCAAAGAAACTGCCAGCACTCACCATCTTGGAATATTCTCTCCGGTGCAAAAAGGTCCAAAACAGCTCTTGGAAGGGTAGGCGACGCTATGGAGAAGTTTTCGCTACTGTATGCAGCAAATCTGTCACAACAAAAAATTGCATATGCAACACCTCTTTCAATCAGCCTCTTCACTGAATCCTTTCAGAGCACATTGTGAGGGAGGACTTCCAATCTACTCGAGCAGTACGGTGGTATCCATTGGGGCAAATACCACTTCTTCTTCTCTCACAGGTACTGGAAGGCTTATTTGCAACGCCTTTGTTTTGTCACACAAGGGGCTCAACATTTGAGGAAAGCAAATCGGAGGCAGGACTTTCGTCGTGTTCAAACCGTGCAATGGAGTTCGTATTGTATCACACTCTTCTTCAGTGACCATCTGCTGCATATGTGGACCAGTTCTCCAGTTGGTAAGATCACATTGTAACCTGAAAACTTTCAACAGGATAATGGCCTTTGGGTTTTCTCTTGAAGGACATACCTTTGAAGTCCCCTCTGGCTGACCACTCTCTGGAAGGAATTTTGTTGGGGGCATCTAAGAAGGCTGCTTCCAGGGATTGCGGCAAACGACTGCAACTCGGCGCCAGACTTCTGAGTGAGTGAACCTGTGGTTGAGTTAGCTAGATGACGTCTGGTGGTGATAAGTGGTCGCAAATGCGGGGGAATAAAAGATATATTTCCCCAAGCAGCCAAACACTCAAGAAGCTGGTCCACGTGCTGCCTTAGACATCGCATGATCGTGGTTTGCAGCTGGCTCTCAGAAACGCTCCTGATTGCGCTCAGTACGAAAGTCTCCAAACATGGAAAGAGGGAACAGACCACAGCCCCGGCTTCCAAGCTTCATTTCCAATTCAGGGATTGTTAAATGAGCCTACCCAGCAGCCATTCATCTGACCTCTGAGCTTGTCAATGCAAAAGTGGACTAAAGATAGCGCTGGGTGGTTGCAGCGTTCCAACGACTGCAGCCTACCGTATTTTGCTGAGGCCCATGCATCAGCTGACAGTGAGAGATGGCGAGCTGGGCCGAGCTCTGAGCGCGCGCGGCACGCGGCACACGCAGGCGCGGCCGCGCCAATCCAACTTACGCCGGGCCCGCGGCCGGCCAGCCGCGGCCCCGGGCGGCGGCCATCATGTTGGCGGACCCGTTACTTATAGCCCACTCAGCTGCTGCCATTAATTTCGTACAAAGCCTACGATACTCCATGCAGGATACATAAAGTAAGCAGACTGCTGATCGCAAGCGGGCAAGATTGCAGATATTGGCGGCCGATCATTGATGTCGCAATGGCTGATTTTTCTCGAGAAAATGCAAACCTGTTTATCCTGCTGCCGATTTGGACCCGGCCGTTTGCGTTAATCCGACCATTTTCGCCTCGTTTGTGTGCAGCCACGCTCGATCTCAATTTTCTGATCTCCCGGCCGCTTGATCCTGGTAAGTGTTCCCGGGGTGTTCCCATGCACAAGTTGATATACAACTTCGAACAGAAGCATAGCCAATCAGCAGTCCTCCAGTCCAAATCTTGGCCGGGATACCTTTTTTGCTGAAGTGTGGGGACTCTACGAAATGAAGATTCAAGCGTGATATGAACGTACGTCAAAGAAAAACAACGCGCTTGAAAGTGTTCCTACTCCCTACAAAGCTCCTCAGCGTCATTTGTTCCAATCAATTTCTGACGCCAGATCGGCCCTTGTTCTTCGCCTTTTGGCACACTGGCCGTTGATCGGGGCGAATCTAGCGCATTCCGACATGATCGGATCCAACCTACACTCATCACGACTCACTTGAAGTCGTTTCCTTTGGTTCAGTCTGGCTTTGTCCCAAACAACGGATCTATTCTTTGGAACAACGCCACTGGGTCAGACTTTTTGCTCAAGTTTCAAATGGAACAAATTACGGAGATCAATGGCGTACGTTATGCTTACTAATGCTCTAATGTTGCACGTGGCCGTACGAATTGTCCCACGCATTGACGTGACGTTAATTGGTCCGAACGAATTAAGAGACGCATGCACCACATCAAGGACTCAAGCAGCGGTGATCATGAGGGGGAGATCGACTCGATCTCCCAATGCTCTATGGCCCATCAGCCAAGCACATGCTTTCGCTGCACGAGGTATGTTCAACCATGTATGAGTGAAACTAAGCTGTGATTCCGCGGCGAATAAATCCAGACCTAGGTTCGGATACTTGCGCCGACCTAAATTAACTCTGGTGACCGATCACCAGTTTCATGGGTCGCACGCTAGCTCGCTGCTGGAAGTCAAGGTGGCCATGCATTCTCGATTCGCTGCATGGCCACGTCATGCGCACTGACGTCATTTTGAAAAACATACAACACTTGCACTCTTGAGCCTCAAAGTTCGGACAAAGCTGTCAGACAACTTGAATATACGCTCTCCGATCAGCGCCTTTTTAATTAAACGAACAGATGACGTATATTCTGCTCGCTGATTGTCTTTCCAAGTGCTCTATTGTCGTCCGAGTGATCCTTCGGTGATCCAGACAACCATACAAGGCGGTTTTGACCGCCACGTTACATACTTCAATACGTACATGATCAAGTCTAGGGGTCTCAAATGTAGAGTTCCCGTTCAGCCCTATCCCTGTATGATCAGACTACCAGCCCGCGGCGGCGCAATCCCTGTATACTGCGAGCAGACAACTAGCAACCTAGCATAATCCGAGCAACAGATTCCATACCAGCTTGATCGCCCTCAAGCCTTTACCAGCGTTTTTGAAGGGTGTCTAAGTTTCTGCAACCTACCGGTTACCCAAAACCTGGAACCCTGATCCTCTGTCGTCCCTTAATCGAATATGTTCAAAGAGAGCGACGGACAGCTCGATTCCGTCGCGGAAAAAAAAGCCCACCCAAAAGTATATTCAAGATGACCCACATACGCGAAGAACCTCCAGAGCTGCTGGAAACTTCCGTACCCACAGCGTGTTAGATTGTATCAATGCATCTGGCAGACAATCACATGTAGCAAACAGCACAGTGGCACGAGCGCCTCTCAAAGGCGCCTTCTTCTCTACTTCATGCTTCTCTGATTATGTTATCGATCAAGTTCCTCCTCCTTGG